CCTCCCTCCCGCCCGGGGCGAGCCTCCGCGCGTGCCCTCGCGCTCCCCGACTCGGCCGCGGGCTGCAGGGCGCAGAGGCGGCGGCGTGTTCTGGCCGGTGAGGGGCCCTCCCTCCCGCTGCTGCTCCTCCTTCCTCGGCTCGTCGTCGTCTCCCGGCTCGGCTTCGGCAAGATGGCGGCGCCCAGGCCGCTGCCCGTCCGGCTGTCCGGCGTCGTTATGCCCGCGTCCATCCAGGACCTGGAGGCTCTCCGCGCGCTGACGGCGCTCTTCAAGGAGCAGCGGAATCGGTAACGGCGCGAGCGGCCGGGGCGGGAGCGGCGCGGGGCTGGAGGGGGCCGCCCCTCCTCCCGGGAAGGCTGCGGGTGGAGGCCTCTGCGGTCGGCCCGGGGTCCCCAGGCCGCTGATGCCCCGCGCGTGCCGGTCCCCGAGGTGCCCTGGGGGGCTGACACCTGCTGCCCACCCGCCTGCGCAGGTGTGAGGCCGGGCGAACCAATCCTTATGGCCGTGCCGTTAGTTGAGCACAAGCTGATGGCGCGTCTGTAACGTGCAAGGTCGCTCTGGGCCGTGGCCGGGAGCAGACTGACAAGGCCCCCAGCGTCACGGCGCGTGTGCTGGTGGGGCCGCCAGCACGGGTCGCGTGGATGCCCGTCACCAAGCCGCGGGGCCGGGGTTGGCGCCCTGCCTGCCCGGGGAGCCCGGGCGTGGCCGTCCCCAGCGGGGCGGCGCTTTGTGGAGCGGGGACGAGCCCTGGCCTGGGGAGGCCGCCGAGGCCCGGCCGCCGAGGGGCGGGACGGCCCGGTAGAGCGGTGCCCAGGCCCCTGACAGGCCAGAATGTGGGGCCTGGCCTTGCAGGCTGGGCGTGACGGGGCTGTTTCTGGAAGCCTTCGATTTCTTGTCTAGAAGTGGGAATAGGAGGCATAACTTCATTGCTCGATTGTACAGAGGAATAAATTAAATAAAGCACATGAAAATATAAAGTATGTGATGCTGTCAGTCAGTGTTTTTTGACTTTTGTGCTGATTGTCCCTGGGCCTCAGTTTTCTCCTCTATTTAATGGGAATGATGTTGAACAGCACCTCCCTGGTGGGATTGTCCTAAGGGTTAAATGAGATTATGCTTATTAGGTCCCTCATGACGCATAGTAAGTAGTACTGAGTAAATGTTAGCCGATGTTACTTTCTATGTTTATGGTCCCCCCCAATGTGCTAGGTGATGAAGTTGAACATGAAGAGGCCTGTCCTGGGTAGCCCTGTCCTTGGAAGTCAGATCATGGGAGTCCATACAAAGGGCAGGGGGCGCGTAGGAGAAGGGGACAGCTAGACTTGGAGGTCCTTTTGTCCTAAACTAGACACTTTAGTCTGAGCGCTTCTGCCCCAAGTCACAGTAGGAAGTGTTGAGCTGTTGGGAGCGTGCTGAAAGCCCAGAGCACTCGCTCTTCCGCGCGCTTTTTTGGAGACCTGTGAACTGATACAATACTTCTGGGACACTTGCTGATGAGTCATGCTTCTGCGTATCTGTACCATGATAGACAGACGCTCTGAGCAACTATTTATTGAGCACCTACTATGAAACAGATTCTTTGCTAGCGGCTGAGGGTACCAAGTTGAATGGTACCTTTTTTTCAAGCTTGTTAGGGAAATGGCTGTGTAAACAAGTTGAAATCGGGAGGGCAGGGGAGACTGGATGTATCGGATGGGCTGGAGGGCCGCGAAAGGCTTACATTACTTGGCTGCGTGGCTTACAGATGAGAGGTCTAATTGGGAGGGACTATATACTGATTTTGCAGGGTTCCTAAGAGGATTAAATGAAATAACATAGGTAAGATGTCTGGTACAGAGGAGACATTGAAACATCAGACTCCTTTCTATAACCTGTAGGATAAAATGCAAGACCCTGAGCCAGCTTACAAGGCGCTTCTCAACTCTTCTATTGCCAGAGGAGTTAATGGGGCAACTTGTGAAGGTTCTTTCAAGGGAACAGCATGATAAGATCTGTGTGTATTGCAGAGATCTCTCTGGTTGCCTTTGTGGGGCATACATTAGAGAGGTAGAGGCCAGAGAGTGGGGACTTTTAAGAAGTGGTTGCAGAAGCCCAGGTGAAAGGAAAGTTCCTGAATTAGGAGATGGTCTATAGGGATGGAAGGTAGATGTTGAAAAATATTTACAAGGTTGAATGGACAGGACTCGGACCAACTGGATTGTCAGGGGAGAATGAGGAACTGAAGATGCTTCCCCACATTTGGCTCCAGTTTTTCTGGGGCTGTGTCCTTTTCCAGGACGAGTTTGGAGAACAGGAACAGTGAATTGATGTGCAGGTCTTGGGGAGGCAACTGTGTGGTGAGGCAGAGAGCTCTTGGTGGGGGTTTGTAAGGTGCCGGCTCTGCCACTGCTTCTGTGGATGTCTTTGGACAAATCGCCAGTTGCCCCTCAGAGCTGTCTCGTGGGGATTAGACCAGAGTCCAGCTGCTCTGACAGGATCCCTCCAATGCAGATGGACTCAGAGGGAGGATGGGCCAAGCAGCCAAGAGCTGGATGGGACATGCTGGAAAGCTGCTGGAACTAAAGATACATATCTTAGTTGAAAAAATGTATTTTGTGGTCTTTCCTAGATGTTTGACGCTACAAAACAACCTTATTCTGCCTGTGGTAGCTAAAGGAATAGAAATGTCACAGAGTGAAAAAAAACAATGACTTGGAAACCAGGTCGACCTGGGCAAAAATCCTGGCTTATCGCCCCTGACTTATTATTTTTCGTCTTGAAAATGATGCTGCCCGCTTTGCAGGATTATCGTGAGGCTTGTACGTGTATATAGCAGTTTTTAGGCATAGTAGATGCCTTTTATTTAGCACGTGCTATTAAAAAGTAACTGGGCTGTAAGTGACAGAGAACCCAATTGTGTTTAATCTTCTGTTTTATAGAAAGCAATGAAAACTATTCCAAAAAGATGATCATTCTAATTTTGGGGTTTCCAGGAAAAGGGATCTCAGGATCTCATTACAGTTTTTAGCCAACTTCCAAGTGAAAGGCAATTCTCGTATCTCATTGCAGTGGTTTTACATTGTCCACAAATTCTTTGCTGCTCTGTCCTTCAAGAGGAGGGCGTTAATTCCTCTCACCTTGATTATGGGCTGAATTCAGTGATTGGCCTTTAAATACGGCAGAAGTAACATTGTGTGACTTCTGAGACTAGGTCATTCATAAAAGGCATTGCAGCTTCCTCTGCTCTCTCCTGGATTGCTCACTGACAGAGCCAGCTGCTATGTCATAAGGACACCCGACCATCCGCGTGGAGGGATCTGGGTGGTGAGGAGTTGAGGCCTCCTGCAGCTGCCACGTGGTAGACCATCCTGCATGCGGATCCCGTCTCAGTCCTGCCTTCAGCCTTGTGTGCATGTCCCCCCCCCCCAGGAGACCCTGAGCCAGAACCACCCCACTCAGCCACTCCCAGATTCCAGACCCTCAGACCTGCTCCAGTTGAAAACGTTACTGTTTTCAACTGCTAAGTTTTTGGGTAATTTATTAAATAGCAATAGATAATTAATGTCCCAATCTAAATTCTTTATGCTCTGGATTAAACCCATAGTCTGTAACCCACTTCTTGAATAGTATCTGAATCACTAAAACTCGTAAAAAAGAACTTGTGGTCATAAACTACCAGTATTAATGATATTACTCAGCTATTCTCAGTGGAAGGTAATTTTTTTAAACCTATTTTAAGTTTGTTTTCTACCTTTTGTTTAATGTACACATCTGCATTTTTAACAAGTGATTTTTCTTGCTATGCTGTGAGTCTTAGCAAGTCCTGTCAAATTCTTTCTGGAACAAAGTAAGATATAAGTACACTACAAAATCTATTTTTGGCCTTTTCCTAGAGGTATTATTTCCCAACCCCTTAGTTACTGTATGATGTGTCTCTGTATCATCCAGCTTTGTGATGTATCCAGACCCTCCTGTGTTAAAAACTCAGAGCCAAGTGAGATAACTTGTAGCCACTGGCAACATGTGGTCATTTAAGTTAATGAGAAATAAATGAGTAATTCTTGCCCTCACTTGCACTGCCACATTTTATTGGGTTTTCGGAAAAGTCATGATGTATTATTTTCTATGTTTTTCATTGCAAAAATGTGTCATGACTTTTCCGACAACCCACACGTGGCTGGTGGCTACCTTATTGAACAGTGCAACTCGAGAATATTTCCATCAGTGCAGGAAGTTCTGTTGGATAACGCTGCTCTATAATAATATCTTTTTTTCTGTAGAGAAGACTATGTTCTGATCCTTGAGTATTCATGAATGTAACATTTGGACACGACTTTCTATGAATTCTTCTCACACTGAAACTGGTACCTCGTTGCTCTTCCATCTGCTAAGCTTCCCTAATAACGAATAACGTGAGCCTATCACTTCCGTGTGTCCCTCGCGTCTAGCCTCAAGTCTGATAATTAATTGTAGGTGCTTAACAATTTCTTGTGCAAGTGTTTCTATTTGTATAGCTTATTACTTGTTGTGCAGGCTTGGTCTTTTTTCTTCTGTACTCAGGTAGACAGTTTTGGTGTTTTTTTTTTGTTAAAAGGTTTTTATTGGGGAATTGGGCGATGGGAACAGCGCTGGGGAATTGGGGGAAGGGGAACAGACAAGTTGCTGTCGTTTTGTTCTTCAGTCTAGTTGTGGAGGACGTTGCTTCACTGGCCCAAGTTGGCACCGTCATTGCGCTCTTCCCGGGTGAGGCAGATCAGTCGCCGGCTTCTGGACGGCCGCTCACGCTGGCTGCTGGCTACACACGGTAGCCCATGGCAACCCACTGCCACAGGGGCTGCAGCCTACGGCCTCGCCAGCGACTCACAGGCAGCCCAGCTCCAGGTTGAGCTGTTGTTCAGCATCTTAGCTGTGGAGGGCAGTGTCACTGGCCCTATATGTGGGATCCGAACCGGGGCCCTCCTTAGCCAATGCGCCACTCGGTTGGCGCTAGACAGTTTTTTTTTAAGCTTCTGTCAATATGGCTTGTTTTCCCTCTTCAGTCTGTCTGTGTTTAGTTAAATTGTTTTTCTGTTTACTTCCTTCAAGTTTTTGTACATCCTATTTAATAGTGCAGATATTTCCCTCCATACTTCTGAAGCCCTTTACCTTATGAACTCTAATTCCTTTTTCTTTTTAGAAAGCACTTACTACATTCTAACATACTGTATATTTATAGTCGTTTCCTATTTATTGTGTCTCTCCTTCCAGAATGGAAGGCCCATGAGGGCAGAGATGTTTGACTTTTTTTGTAAGAATCCTGTTTGGATAA